CGTGGTCAGGACCCACCAACCCTCTAAGCCCTGAGGTGTCCTGAGGGACCAGTTAGCCAAGGCTTGCTTCTCCCTTTTCCAGCCGCCCGATTTCTCTACTGCTCCCCGCCTCATTTCTTGGGATTCCGTTTCCCCGCTCTAAGAGCCAGATTTCTCAGCTCTTATCCCCATGCAAAAGAGAGGTCCTGGTCAGGCCTCCCTGGGGTTACCTGTCTAGCCAGCTACCACCCCAGGACCCCTGTTAGTCTGGAAATGTTTCCTCTTATCCGACCTAAGTACTACTCTTCCAAAACGGGGCCACATTTTGACTGCTCCGTTTAACAGACGGGGAAACTGAGGCTCACCCTAAAAAGTGGCCCAAGGTCACACAGGGATACAGTGACTGACTACACCCAGAGTCACAAGCCTCAGGTCTCCTGCCCTCTAGTGTCCAACCACAGTGAAGCCACACCCCCGGATGTGGCAGGGGCCTGGAGACCAGAAGGCCAGGCTGTGGCAGCCTCTGAGCACGGGCTTGGGGGGCTGGGATGCGGGAGATGCCTTCCTGCCCCCGCCCCCATTCTGAGCTCCTCTGACGTCTCTTCCTCCCTTCTGTCACACCAGGTCCTGGCACGAGGGATTCCTAAAACAGACCTAAAATCAGGGCCTCAGTTTCCACACCTGTGACCCTGGTCTAGCAATCGGGTCTCCTCTTGCCTCTGCTGCCAGGGAACTGAGCCAGGGAAGTTTTGTCGCTCCTGACCTCTCTGGACTCCACGGACGGGGTAGGGGTGAAGGTGGAGAGGGAAATCAGGACAACCTTTCCCTCGTCACGGGCTGGGATGGGGCTAGCCGGGCACCACAGGGTTAATAGCCTATCAGGCAGGGGACCTTTAACCCTTCCCTCCCCAAGACCCGCCCCCCCAACTCATTCCCAACACAATGGCCCCTCCCCCTCTCCTTCCTCCGCCCGGACTGCGGAGAGGGCGGACCCTGGCCAAAGAGATGCAGATAAAGGCAAAAGGCCACCCTCGACCCCTCCCCGAAGTCCCTAAGTGACAGTCCTCTCTCTGCCCACACTCTCCAACTACAGTCCTCAGGGGGGTTAAGGGGACCCGGACCAGGAGAGGGGGGCTGGGAAACAGCTGTTGCCCCAGGCCCGGAAAAGGCCGTGGGCTGCAACTCGGGGACTGCAGTCAGATTCCAGAAGGGACTTCCCACTCGGCCTCCCCCCACCCCCAGCCTCCCACTCTGTCTTCCTGCTTCTTGCAACACAAAGACCACACTGGCCACACCCTCCCCGTGGCCCGGCCGGCTCGCCACCTCCCCCAACTTGCTCCCACTACTCCCGTTCCTCGGGGGTCTCCCTTTCGGGGCTCCCAGCATCCCTGGTGCGGGG